GATAGAAGAAAGGGTAGGGTGGTGGTAGGCGTGGGATGAATGAACGGGTAGGGTTGTAGTTGACGAAGGATGGTAGTAGGGTTAGAAGCAAGGGATCGGGTTGTAGTTGACGAAGGATGGTAGTAGAGGTAGGATAGCAGAAAGGGTAGGGTGGGGTTGAGGTAGGGAGGGGGAAGGGGTAGGATGGTAGTAGAGGTAGGATTGAAGATTTGGTAGGGTGATGGTAGGCATAGAATGGAAGAATGGGTAGGGTTGTAGTTGACGAAGGATGGTAGTAGAGGTAGGATAGAAGAATGGGTAATGTTGGGGTTGACGAGGGATGGTAGTAGAGATAGGATGGAAGAATGGGTAGGATGGGGGTAATAGAGGTAGAATAAAAGAATGGGTAGGGTGGTAGAAGGCGTAGGATAGAAGAATGGGTAGGTTTGTAGTTGACGAAGGACGATAGTAGAGGTAGGATAGAAGAAAGGGTAGGGTGGTGGTAGGCGTAGGATGGTAGTAGAGGTAGGATTGAAGAAAGGGTAGGATTGGGGTAGTAGAGGTAGGGTTGAAGAAAGGGTAGGATTGGGGTAGACGTAGGATGGTAGTAGAGGTAGGATTGAAGATTGGGTAGGGTGGTAGTAGGCGTAGGATAGAAGAATGGGTAGGTTTGTAGTTGACGAAGGACGGTAGTAGAGGTAGGATAGAAGAAAGGGTAGGGTGGTGATAGGCGTAGGATGGTAGTAGAGGTAGGATTGAAGAAAGGGTAGGATTGGGGTAGTAGAGGTAGAAAGGGTAGGGTGGTAGTAGACGAAGGATGGTAGTAGAGGTAGGATTGAAGATTTAGTAGGGTGGTGGTAGGCATAGGATGGAAGAATGGGTAGGGTTGTAGTTGACGAAGGATGGTAGTAGAGGTAGGATAGAAGAATGGGTAATGTTGGGGTTGACGAGGGATGGTAGTAGAGATAGGATGGAAGAATGGGTAGGATGGAGGGTAGTAGAGGTAGAATTAAAGAATGGGTAGGGTGGTGGTAGGCGTAGGATAGAAGAATGGGTAGGTTTGTAGTTGACGAAGGACGGTAGTAGAGGTAGGATAGAAGAAAAGGTAGGGTGGTGGGGCAAGATTTCCCACGAGCGGGACAAATGACGATAGGATTATGTGTGTTTTCCTTCTTGTTTTCACCGCTGTAGCGGGGGAAATATATTATCTAGGTTATTGATGTCTCTAATTATCAAAGCTAAAAAGTAAAATATTTTTAAAAAAATACACAATACAGGGGATGCAACTGTTCGCATAATGTCTTACGGTAAAAAAAAAATTGTATCTGATTCTGAATATCCAACTTCCTTACTTATATGGAAAATATGTCGTGCGACATTGTATATTTACGAAAAGCTTGAATATGGTATATAACTCAAGTCCCTACAGCATGGGTGTCGATCTGTAATTGATACCTATTGTTCAGGGGGGATGATCTATTCATTCATCCCCCTGAACAATAGGTATTACGTAAGGATCGACACCCATGCCCTACAGCCCCCTCTCTGTCGCTTTCTTCCTTTGCTGAGGATAAGATACATGATAGATCAACCCCTTGAAGGCAACACTGATACAACCCCACCGCCCCCACCCTTAAACACACACAGGCTACGCCATCTATGAACTACTTGGACGAGAATTATCGCTAATATGTACATGTACCAAGGGAATACTGCCGGTCGGGTGGGCTGAATGGCGCAGCGTGGTCGGGTATACTGGGGGGGGGGGGGCTGGTGACCGGAATAATGGGACACTAAACTCATTATTTCGTATTATGAATAGCGACACCCTACTCCTATTATGAATAGCGACCCGCATTTTGTATTATGAATAGCGACCCTCTACTCCTATTATAAAAAGCGACCCTCATTTCGTATTATGAATAGCGACCCTCATTTCGTATTATGAATATAGCGACCTCCTACTCCTATTATGAATAGCGACCCTCATTTCGTATTATGAATAGCGACCTTCTTCTCCTATCATGAATGGCGACCCTCTTCTCCTTTTATGAATAGCGACCCTCATTTTGTAGTATGATTAGCGACCCTCTTTTCCTATTATGAATAGCGACCTTCTCCTATTATGAATAGCGACCCTCATTTCGTATTATGAATAGCGACCTTCTTCTATTATGAATAGCGACCCTCATTTCCTATTATGAATAGCGACCTTCTTCTCCTATTATGGATAGCGACCATCTTCTCCTATTATGGATAGCGACCCTCATTTCCTATTATGGATAGCGACCCTCTTCTCCTATTATGGATAGCGACCCTCTTCTCGTATTATGAATAGCGACCCTCTTCTTGTATTATGAATAGCGACCCTCTTCTTGTATTATGAATAGCGACCTTCTTCTCCTATTATGAATAGTGACCTTCTTCTCCTATTATGAATAGCGACCTTCTTCTCCTATTATGAATAGCGACCTTCTTCTCCTATTATGAATAGCGACCTTCTTCTCCTATTATGAATAGCGACCTTCTTCTCCTATTATGAATAGCGACCTTCTTCTCCTATTATGAATAGCGACCCTCATTTCCTATTATGGATAGCGACCCTCTTCTCCTATTATGGATAGCGACCCTCTTCTCCTATTATGAATAGCGACCCTCTTCTTGTATTATGAATAGCGACCCTCATCTCACGTTATGAATAGCTGTCCTTATGATTAACGAACCTTATTTCTTGATGAATAGTGACCCTCTTTTACCCTTATGAATAGCGGACCTGCAGGATGGGAAGTTCCACGTTATGAATAGCGGTCCTTATGAATAACGGTCCTTATGAACAGCGAATGGACCCCGGCTGGACCCCGGGGGGGGGGGGGGTGGTTAAGGGTGTTCATCATGTTGTCAGTGATTCAGCTTTTTTCCTTCTAAATGTTTTAAATTCATATAACCTTGCCATTTCCTTGTAATAATTTGTGTACATTACCATGTTTTTTTGTTGTTGGGACCTGCTTGTTTTGGGGGCTCTGCGCGCGTAAGACTGTATCGTATCCATGATCAATCGTATCCTACCATCTTTATGTGGATTTAAAAACTTCTAAACAAAGATGAAGACATGAAATGGAAACAATATTTTAACTTTATCACTGAACACGTGGGTGGAGATTTGATATTTTCATGTGACTATATACCAAGTTTATTAAAAGTGACAGCTCCACAATTTTATATGGATTTATTAGAAGATTGGGTGAATACGAGACATATAAGGAGTATATAGACATTGGTGATGTGGTAATTTTTAATAATAAACTTATTCGATATAAAGGAAGTTGTATATACGATAAGAGGTTGTATGACAAAGGAATTTACAAATTAAAACATATTCTGGAAAACGATGGTAAACTAAACTGTGACAGGCATTTTCTTGATTTGGGTGTTGAAGTAAATGAAATTGAAAAGATCAAGCACTTTTATGCCTGTTTACCAGTTTGTTGGAAAAATAATTTTAGAAAGGGAGAAGAAAAAAAATAATTCTGGAACTGATTTCACTTTGGGGAAGAAAACAACTAATATAGCTGATCTAAAATCAAAACAAATTTATGTACAATTAATAAAGAAAGATGATTTTAAACCTTTGGTTTTTGAGAGAATAGGAAGGAACTATGGTTTTTCCTGTAAGGACATAGAAAACATATTTTTAAGACTAAGACAGTGTACACTTAACAGTCGATTAAGAGAGTTTCAGTTCAAACTTATACATAATATATTATATACAAACCATCACCTCTTCCGTTTTGGTCTTCTCTCGACTAACTTATGCTCATTTTGCGAAACAGATGAAGATACATATAAACATTTATTTTATACTTGTGAATTTGCACAATCAGTGTGGGGAATGTGCACGAGATTTTTAGACTTTGAAATACATAACTGTAGTTTGGAGGAAATTCTGTATGGGAAAGAGGAGAGAAATAAAGGAAAATATCAATTAATGAATCGTGTTTTAATTCTTGTTAAATATCTGATTTATAGAAATAGAGAACTTAAAAAACCACCCTCTTTTAATGAAATAAAGAATAGTATAATAGGGGATAAAGTAGAAGAAAGGAAATTGGCAGCAATGAGGGGAACTCTCACTATTCATTTTTCTAAATGGGAAAACCTGAGTATTAGACAAACAATTGGAACCCAGAGCCAGTCGTCCACCGGTTAAGAGGGGGGGGGGGGGGGGGGGGGGGGGGGGGGGGGGGATAAGGGAGAGGTCGGGTAGGGAAGGGTTAACAAAAAGAGAAAACTTTTCTCTCAGGACAACAGTATAAAAGAAGTATAAGTTGCTACATTGTTAAAACAAAATTTTTGGATTATACAACTGCATATGTTTTCTTTGAAAATATGAATTTTTGTTTCAAATATGATGTAGGAACTAACTATGTAAGTTTCTTTTGAAGCCGTTTGTAAGACAAAAATTTATACTGATTTACAATGTCATCACATTTGCAGTGAGCGTTACATATGATGATTGTAATTTGTACTATGATTATAATTTGTTTCAAGAGAGAAAAGAATAAAAACTGACCATAAAAAAAAAAAACTTTCATGTTTTGAATTGCGCAGATCCTTGAAACACGTTGGTCTCTTTGCCAATCCGCTGGGATTGAGATCTCCATCCTCCACAGGGGCCCCACTCACAAGCATTGCTTTTTGGGGTCTCAATTTGGATCATGTTTGTTCGTCATGATTACTATGCCATGTGTTTTTTAATAAACTGAACTGAACTGAACTATTAAATAAATAAATTACTAGTATGTGGTTTATTTTTTATTTTTTTCTTGGATCAGATTTATTTACATATTTAACAATTTTTCATAATAAGGTTGCCGATGATTAACAAGTTTTGATATAAAAGAAAGCAATTTAAAGAGATTAGGATAGGATGAAGCACTGAGGGGAAGGAGTATTTGGGAAGAAAAAGTAAGAAAGCTTTCTTGGAGTATCCTTACTGTGAGCTGATGAGGTACGTAGAACGGAACTACTGGAACAGAACTTAAATAGCGCCCTCAGACAAATCAAACATTATATTTGCTGACACGAAATGGAAAACCTGCGGAGCGACCGCCGACCACCGACTGGTGCAAATTAAACATCTTTCATGAGGTTGCTGGAATCTGTATCTGTATCAACGTTGGCTTGTCCAACTAACATTTTCTTCTCAGTTTTATAACGTACAAGGTGAGTAATATTTCTTACTTAGTCATTTGAACCAATGTTTATCCCAGACTCTGACTCGACGACGCTGTAGCGCTGCGAAACTCCCTAGATTACTCTACGGTACGATAGCGTATGCGAGTCGCTGTGTTACACCGGTTCGGTACGCCGGGCGATCTCCGTTTACTCGATCTCGTAGACGGTATGCATAACGTGAGTGTGTTGATGGGCGTGTTGACTGTGTATTGACTGTGAGTGTGAGTGTGATAATGAATTAATGAGTCTGCACCTTACATTCGACCTTAAATTGACTAGGACTTTCTTTTGAGTTTTATGTATCTGTAAGGATCCGGGCTAACTCGGACCAGGGCAGGGGACAACTCGGCCCAGCTGCAAAAACGGTCATTTTTTGTCATTTTACCCTAACTCTATCTAACCCTAACCCTAACCCTAACCCATAACTCTATTTCTAACCCATAACTCTAACCCTAACCCTAACCCTAACCCTAAACCTAAACATGCAAAAAATGACCTTTTTGCATCTGGGCCGAGTTGTCCCCTGGTCCGAGTTGGCCCGAGTTGGCCCGAGTTGGCCCGACTCCGACTCCATCTGTAGAGGGTCTAGGCCTAATGTAATGGCTAATGATAATCTCGAAGAAATCCCTTTTGGAGTTCCAGAGCTCCAGTAGGTCTAGACCTAAGTAGTCTAAGTAAGTGTGCAAAATCTTTCATGAAAATTTTATCAACAATCATGAATACATGATGATGAGCAATAACAATGTCATTATTTTTAACTGATTTCACTTGTATAGAGTCTATACATTATAATCTAGTTACGTAGTTGTGTGTTATACTGATGAAAAATTTGAAGATGCCCCCTCCGCTCAGATCCTCATAATTTTATACAGTGACTGTATAAAACTTACAAGAATGCACTAAAAATCAGCAATTCAGTGACAATTGATGACGCCTAAATCTTGTGTGTTATTTTTTGCAGCGTTGATAGTTTCTAGTATTGGTACATGGCCAATAAATGAATTTGGCTTAAAAAAACTTCTGTATTGCCTACACAAAAAATCAGTACCTTTTGTGTTTGAGATAGGGAGTGATTTTTTGTTGTTGTTTGAGTTGCAGTGCTCACATTAAATGCTGTGAACACAAGCGGCACATCGACAGGATTGACATTAGATTTTTAAAGTATATTCTGCAAAATTGATGAGTTGATTTGATTGTACATGTATTTTACTGATCAGTGAAATTTAGGTTAGGGGGTCATCATCATGTAACTTAAGTGCAGATTATGAGTGAGTTGTATTGAGTTTTGTACATACCTGTAGATGTTTCAGAGTTTTGAGAATCAAGACACAGTGGCTGACTATTGTAAAGCTGACAAAGTATGGTAAATGCTATTAGCAGTGCACAATACCTGTTTCATGAGATACTATATAGCCCAGCTTAAAATCTTAGAGACTCTCTGGGAAATCCCTGTTTTTCATCTTTTACCGGTACTTTTCTAAGCTGGTTAAAGGTAATACAAAGTTTTGGGAAATTTTGAATATTGGGTGGATAGTGATTCTTTACAATTTTGATATATTTGGATGCCCCTGTGGATACATTATCAGCACTAGAAAATTTAGCCCCTAAAACACTTCTGCTTTCGAGAAAAATTGAATATAAAAATTTAATTGTGCTACCGGAAAATTTTGATAAATTTCAAATAGCTCCTACGGCCGTACAATAGTAGCTGCGACCATGAAAATCTCAGAATATATAGTTGTGATATATAATTTCTAATTAGGAATAGCTAATCGGTTGATTTTAGTCAAGAAACGTTGTTTTATAGCTTAATAAATATGTTAACCTTGAGAGGGAGCTATTCAACATAAAGGGTGTATTATTTAGAATTTCATAACTTTAGACTCGATTTCTATCGCGACAACAATCACTGAATATTGTAGGATTGCATATGCTTCCAATATGTTCATTTGAACAAGATACATGACCCCATTTCCCCTTTTCATTACCTCATAAGCTGAGTCAATGAAAATGTCACCATTTTCCCTTTTCACGGTTCAAATCTCGCCAGTATCTATGATTACACATTTTATGACTGTACTCTTTTCAATCTTCAAATTTGAATGGAAATTGATTTTACTGTCCAGTGTTATTTTCTCTGGAATATGAATCACAAATCACATTGATGAATAGTGAATTCTTCTGTTGATTACATTGGCGCTTTTGGCAGTTTTCACAGGAATGCCCGTACCATCAATGATTCATCTAAAGAATTGTATTTTAATTTCGACCATAATCTAAATCAGTTCAAAATTATGTTGAGTATTTATCATTGTAGTTTTTTACATTTAATATTTTTGTATATATATATTTTTGATCTCAGCTATTAAAATACAACAATCACAATTCAGTTTTGATGTCTGCAAGGATTTTTGAAAATCAATTTAATTTAATGAAATAAAATAAGTGAAGCACGATTGCCTTGTTTTGGTGAGTTGCATGTTTCTGCATTTTCTTGGATTTTTGAAAGCATGATACAAAAAGTGATACATCATTTTTAGTGCACTCCATTAAAATTATCTTTTTGTACTCCAAAACCAGTGAAAAAATAATATGGGAGTTGAGAATGATTTGACTTAAATGACCAAAAATATCTGGAAAATTTATAAAAGCGTTGTGGAGAAAGAAAAAAAGATTGTCCAATTAAGAAATCTCACCTTTTATTTATAAAATGTTCATTGTTTGTGTTAGATACATACTTGAAGGCCTACATGCAGTAGATGATGCACATGTACATGTATTTACATGTACTGTACAGACTTGCATTGTTACAATTTTTTATACATGTATATGTACATGTAGATGTAATCTTTTTTCATAAAATCATTAAATGTGATGTTTAATACCTCAAACTTTGTTGAGCAGTTAGGAGCATTGTGCTGCTTAAGAGAGGAAATGAGACATGCCAACAAAATGAAGATGAAAATAATTACTTTATGTACATGTACATGTAGTTAGATTGTAGCCTAACGTACATGCATTCAACAAAGTTCTCTTGTTCGAATGAACTGTACACATTGGAATGTATGCTGTACATGTATCTTAGTATTTGCCTCATGCTATCATAAACAGTGTGTTTTGTGGGAGTAGTCATGCCAATTTGTCACTTCCTTACTACAATCATCGTACGTGACAGCACGTACATGTGTGTAATGCATATTGTTAAATTTATGTTGAATATGTTGAATATTAATTTAAATTATTTGTATGCGCCTTGAGCATCTCTAGAGATGGATATGTTGCGCTTTATAAATATTGTTATTATTATTATTATCTTGTATGAGAGCTTACCACTAAATTGTCACTACATGAGTGTAAAATATGTGTATTTTACAAAAGGCACTAATTTGTTGACATGTTTTACATGTATAAAGAAAAGAATTTGTTATTTATACATGTATGCAACTGTGTCATGTTAATATACCTGTATATTGTGCAAAAAAATAGTTAGAAATTCACATGTGACATCAATATCATCTTTATAATGTGTAGTACATGTGTGTAGAGATGCTGATATAAAATCTGTAACCAATGAAGAACATAAATACAGTGTACTGTAGATAGGTTTACCTTAGGCCTACATATACATTAAAACAAAAGAAGAGAACATTATAAAGAGCTTCTGTGAGGATAAAAGAAAGAGAAAAAAAGTGAGTTTTAAAAATCAATATGTGGTATGCTGAGGGCTAGAAGGGTGTTAGGTACTATTAATTTTTTGATAAAGTTAATTCCCCTGTGGATCTCAGCGATAAGACATTAATAATATTGCTATTCAGGTGCCGTACATGTACATTACATGCAGTCGATACCATCATGCCTGTACAGTACATGTACTTGTTGCAGAATGAGAATTTTGCTCATCAGTTCAGTGAAATATTCATGCTTGAGGCATAAAGTCTGTAAATATTATTACTGGTTCATGGGGAAGGTGTTTGTGTGTGTGTGTGTGTGTGGGTGTGTTGGGGGAGGGCACCAAATATCATGTACAGTATGAAGGCCTATGAATCAGACATGCTTGTATTTTGCAAACCAAGTAAAATAAATGACGAGCATGAAATATTACAGGCCGAGCAGCTGTTATTATAATTATGCATCTAAGGGTGCGTTCTAGCAACACTTTTTCACCCTAGAAACATGGTTTTCAAAGATGTTTATTATAAAACATGGTAGCGTTCAAGCGATTTTCAAGCGATATTTTGTTGGTCGTTGATGATAAGTCGCTTAAACGCTCTCCCGCAGTAACCATGTTTTTTAACAGCGTTTTGATTTATGATTCACGTTTTTGATTGTAGCTTCAAAAATTTGATTGAACGCACCCTAAAGCCAATGACTTTGCGACATTGCACACACACTCTCAGATTACTTTACATGAATATGATAATTATAAGCAACAAGGAGAAAATAAAATGTTATAGTTTAATGCTGTGCTTCGTTCATATTTATATTTGTGTTCCCAATTTGAGAAATGAGTTTGTCTGTCTGTATTCCTTTGTTTTGTTGTAGTACGTCTGATTTTGATTTTGTTTTCCCCTTCTCCCCTTTGTTTTTATTTTATGTGCACGCATGTATGCTCTTCATTTTCCCCTGCCTGTTAAAGTGTTTTGCAGTCAGGAGATAAAGGGATGTTACTTGCTGCATGGTAACTCTACTCTGTCTTGACCCTGCTCTACTCAAAGAAAACTCCTAAAAGGCTGTGCTTCCGCTCTGAAACACCAAATCACATTTCTTTCTGCTTGCTAGAAGGTATGTACATACATGTCATTCATTTCATAGGCAAAGGAAACTGAGGTAAAAGCATGAATATATCCCCCTAGGGAACTCATGCTCTTTCTGAATATCATACAAGTAGAATTTGTGGCTGTTCAATTGATGAGATTAGAAGAGGAAATCATGCACTTGGCTTTCCATTGTACTCTCTGCTTACAGCCAGAAGGGCATTACAATCGAATTACAGAGAACTGAGTAAACATATTAATACCCTAATGGCATTCTGTAGGACTGTGATATATGTGAAGAAATTGCACTGCAAAGGCCTACAGTGTACATGGTGTTACTATTTGATTTTTTATAGATTTTCCTTCATCTTTATCATCAGTTCAATCATCAAATAATGATCTGTTTTTATTGTCTTCACATGTACATGTATGTCAAACGCTTTAAAGGTAAAGACCAGTTATGGTCATGCGATTGCATTGTGAAAGAAACGTTGTGGAATCGATCAGAAAAGGTTGATCATCTAGCATCTGCAAGGTTCTGGAATCATCAAAATGATAAGAAATTTGGCCCATTCTTCGTAAAGTTACAAGCACTATACACAGAAAGATGTATATGGGACTACCCTATATCTCTCACAGACCGTGAGAGAAACAAATTTACCAAATATATGAATTAGTAGGCGGTTTCCCGGCAAATTTTTTATCATGTATTATTCAAAACATATTCTTTCACATGATTGGTAATGAGAGCTTCCATTTCATTTTTTGAAACTGGGGCGTTTCCAATACTGGTCTTTACCTTTAAAGTTATCTTAACTTATTCATTAATTCATTTACATCAGTGTATAGAGTACCGAAGTGCTAAAGTTGTATTCTTAGTCGTCCAGATTACTGGTTCTAAACAACAGAGCCTGTGCATGAGGTTCACCCTGAAATCATTGAAGCATCTGGCTGGAGAAGGGCAAATTCAGTGTTTGGGGCTGGTTTGATCATGACACCATTACTAGCACAAGATTGTTTGAATCCACCAACCTTGACAACTTGGCCAGTATGATGTCACACTTCGGTACTCTATTACACCCATAGGCTTTTCCGCACTCATGTAATATACCCACCTTCATTACTGCAAAGGCTATGTAGTAATTACATTAAGGCCTGTTTGCATCAGCTCGAGTTGGCCAAATAGCCGCTATTTCTGAATCGGGGAAATTAGCCCGAAGTAACAAATTGTGTCTTCATCTTCGCGCATACAGTAGTGCGAGTCTTCGGGCTGGTGAAGACGGACCGTACAAATAGCTGGCTATTTTGCAAAGTACACGATATCTTAGGAAGATTTCCCGAGCAAATAGCCCGCTATTTGCGTCTTCACCTGCCAAATAGCCAGCTATTTCGTTATCAGGCTAATTTCCTAAATCAGAAATAGCAGGCTATTTGGCCAACTCAAGCTAATGAGGACAGGCCTAATGAGCTTCATACCACCTTATTACTCTACCATATCTTCACATTCCTGTGCAGGTTTATTCATTAGGTCCACATGTTATTAGATGCTCTACACCCTACAGCGTATACTATATTGCTCAGGTTTAGTCTAGATTGAGTCGAGAGTTGTCACTACATTATCAAAGATTTTTTGAGGTGGAGTTTTTCCATTATAATGCATCGTTGTCATTGCCAATCTAGATACTAAAACTTTTTTCATCATAATTTGTGAACCACTGGTAAACTTCAGCAGACAAGCAAGCTTTTTGAGCAAGTTTCAAATCATTCTGTCACATGTGTTGATAGCCCTACTTCATGTACAGGTATTGGGTCAGATCAAAGATCAAGGAAACTAATACTACATAGTAAGAATGTTTATTAGCTCATTATTATATGGGGGAAAAATAGAAGAAGAAAAAATAGTGTACCGTATTTATATATTAAAACATCATACCGTAATTAACGTTGTATAAACCGCCCTCGTGTATTAACCGCACCCCTTTTTTCGCCCTTTTTTCGCCCTTTTTTGCCGACTTTTTTTTTTGCTGACTTTTTTTTTTGCCGACTTAAAAAACAGCAGAGGACCTAGGATAGAACCTTGTGGTACGCCATGTAATAGAATAAAAATTGGAGGAATTATTATTATAAAGTACATATTGAAATCTATCAGAGAGATAACTTTCAAACCAAGATGACAGATAATTTTGAGTGTTCTAGTTTCCGAGTGGTGAGCAAACACACCGATTACTGAGTTGGGAGACATTGCCAGGCATAGCGTCAGGTGGAGGGACAAAAAGGTGCGGTTAATACACTGTTAATTACGGTAGGCATATTAGGCAATATGATAATAATATAATACTGATGGTGGTGATGATGATGGTAATAATGATATTACTGAGAATAATAATAATATCAGCAAAAACAACAACTGCAACAACAACGACAACTACAAGAACAACGACAACAACAAATACAACAACAAATACAACAACAACAACAACATCAACAACATCCATGGAACTGTTGGAAGTTCAAACAGCCTACAGCATTTTTATTGTTAAGGGGAAGAAAGAATGGTTAAGAAGTATGGATTCACCAACTAATATCAGAAGGAGGTGTTTTTACATGTAGCCAACTCTTCAGGGAATTAAAACCTTGTACCACAGCATTATCAGACCTTTCAATATGTGAGAGATCTTTGTGACCTTTATCAAAACAAAGCATTGCAAGATGGTAAGGAGCTTATGAATTAATCATTTAAGCAGGGATTTATAGATCGATGGAACTGTGTACAAAGAAAGAGAATATTGTCTATTTAGAGCCAGAAGGACATAACTTATATAGTTATAACACATCTACACCTCTAAACAGCTGATACAAAGATAATGCTTGCAAATTCAATACGTAAATATGAACATACATTTACATTGTATTGAATATATTTTAACTCCATGCTTCAGATATACTACTGATATAATGTTTTTCCTTTTTGTTGTTGTTGTCAGAATTGTATGAAACTCTCATATAGCAATGTAGTTGATATTTACACTTGTTATTCTTACTAGGCTTAATTCTTACAAGTAAGTATTCAAGGCAAAGTAGCAATGTGTTTATTTTGTATGGTTGCTACCGGTATGCACATATCGATTTCAATATGGTCAATGTGTAAACATGAAAATAAACAGAAAGTTATTTGGCAATGGATGAACAATGAACCCATCGCTGTTCAGTGTCTGCTTAGTGACATGTTAAAATGATCTTTTGATCCAGAATGTTAGGAATTACGCATGAGCAGAAAGTGCAGATATCAGGGCCAATTCTGAGTCTATTTCCAATGTAGTGTGTTGTGTCGTATTTTAGATAGAGCAATTTAATTATAACTACCAATAATCATTAAAGTCTCTAAATTGGCAATGCAGAGTAAAATAATATTTAAAAATCACTAAATATGTGCTTGTGGAGCTGTATAGCCTACATGTACATGTAATGTTCTTGATGAGAAATTTCAATGACTCAGTGGAGAATCTCCCAGCTCTGACATTCTTTTTAACATTTTTTCTTTTTCTTTTTTTTTGGTGGTGGGGGGGGGGGGGGGGCGGTGAGAGGCATATATAAACTTGATTTAAAAATAATCCCAAGAGAGGTGTACTGTTTAAAATTATTAAATAAAAAGATTCAATTTTTCAAAAAGTATTTTGTAAAAGCTATCATCACCAATGGTATTAGTGAACATATTTGACTATAATTTTTAATAATTGAATGTAAGATGTGTGAAAATTGAGGATGACAACCTGTGTGAAGCAATGAGATCACAGTGCTAGCTAGCTACACTGTAGGTTGTGGCAGTGGCTATGTATAGTTGCATGATCCATAATTGAAACATAGCCACATGGTGAATTACCTCATGCCAAGAGGTCCTTTTCTAGGGTAGGTACACTACCTTCTCCTGTACCGGTAAAGAATATTAACCCAGAGCAGAGGAGTGCTTGTGTACACTACATGAACCTCCATTGATATTAAAGCTTTAGTAACTACATCATGCATCAGCATGTATTGCATTTGCCGGCATTAAGGCCGCATCCCCTATTTTGACATTTCGTAGACAAAAAAAAAGGGGGGGGGGGAAGATGCAACGCTACAAGACCAAACAAAATCATTGTTATTTTCTTGTAGAACACTATTTTTTTCTACAAATTAATACCAAATTTACCAATATTCTTATAACATTTAATAGAAAAAACTAAGTTTAAAGTTGTATTTACACCTCAAAAATGTTTGTAATTGAGCAATTCTTTGTCGATTTTGAAGGTAGTTGCGGCTACTGTATCACAGACAGTTTTGGTATCTGAATAATCTGACATATACCCCTACAGTACATACAGTTCCACAATGCAATGCGAAATTGCCTGAAATGGATACAAAGAAAATATATGTATTTGCAGACAGCGGATGCGTATTTGCGTTGCGCGGCAGCTCCGTTTCGGTCCCTACTTTAGTGATGGGATGGCACGAACTTAGATCTTCCAGTAGTTTTTGTTTAAAAAACTAAGGTTTATTGTATGAAGCTCAATCACAAGATTAACAAAACTTCATGTCTTTAATTTTCTGTAAGATTTGTGGAGTTATTATAGAAATGTCCTGTACCATTGAACATTAACTAGTATAGTTATTATAGTTCCATATGTACGCATATGTGATGTTTTGACCGCCGATTCAGGGTTCGAGATGACTTGATTTTTACTCTTGTCGCGCATAGGCCGCACCCAGACTTTGCAACAATTTCTCTTCCAAAAATACTGCAGCCTTTATGCAGGCAAATACAGTATGTTGATACTGTACTCCCTAGGGACTACATTGCAATTCAGATTGCCTTCATGTTCACATACAACACATTTCATTTAGAGATATTAGAAATCATAAAAAATGTGCAATTTAAGTGCTCCTCCTTGTACTGTGTATTTCATGAACCTATATGTATTTATCTCATGTTTTCATCGTGAATAATAAGCCATTCTTCATCCCTAACCAAGTGTGGTAACACCTTGTCTA